AAACCGAGCAATTTTGTCCGCTAAGAATTGGGCATACTCTTCAGCCTTGCCCTGCAAGGGTTCCCCCGCCTGTAATTTTCTCTATTACAAAGTGATTTAACTGGCCAGCATGGGAGAATTCAAACTTCAGCATTCCCATCTGTAGAACATCAGACCAAAGTTAATATTTTTATGAGAAATAACATCAGAATGTCATATAACACTTAATTGGAAAGAAATGTACAATGATACAGAATATCATTATCCATATTTAATATTTTTTTTAAAAACCACTCAATAATTATTGTAATTAATTTATATAAAGTATATAATATAAATATTATTAAAATGTATAAGCCATCCAACTCCCAGTAACCCAGAAAAATTTACATTTTTAAAAACCATTTAGAAACAAAGAACCAGCACAAAAACAACCCAACCAAAGGAACAAAGATTGCAAAAAAGAAATAGAATGCTTGAAATTAGTTTAGCTGGGATTATGCCATCTACTATAGGGAAATCTGAGCTGGGGACCCCAAATAGTGATCATAATAATATATTAATATTATATGTATTATATAATAATATATTTTTATATAATAATATATTAATATATTATGAAGAGGAGCTGTATCTCACAGAAATGCATATGAATAAATCCTCAGGATGCATAGACAGTTTTACAATTATTTTCATCACTGCCTAGTATAATTTTATAACTATGGTTCAGCATTCTTTTTATACTTTACAAGTGTAACAAAATATTGGGCTGAAATTATGTAAGTAGGGTCATAACTCTGTCCATCTGCACAAAAATTCTCCAAAAAACTTAATGGGACCAAAGTTGGTTGGGGGAAAATGTCAGTAAAGGAAAAATCAAATATGAAAATGGACCAGATAAGAGCAGAGACTATGGAGAAAAAAAATCCAGAAAAATGCCCTGGTATAGGGTATAAAAGGTGACTGAGAATGGATGCTAAGAGAAATGAAACCAGACTAGAATCTACTATGGAGTCCTTGGTGTTCTCTGAGCTTGCTTGTTTGCTTGTGGACATTTCATTACCTGACTAAGTGATATCATCAGTGCTAGTGAGTGTACTAGTGATGTTTACTCCCGATTTATAACTGAGAAATAGCATTTTACATGACGATGATGATAGTAATATTACATTATTCTATTGGTCTGTTTATTATTCATTATTTTTATAAAACTAAGTGGCTATGAGTATTGAAAAGCCTCATCCATTTTGAAAAACCAGAGGACTAAATAATAATAGTTTCCGTTAGTATTGTTTGTTTAGTATTTTTCTTTATACTTTTTTGCTTACACTCTATGAGTTCTAAGCCTGAGTTTGAGGTTTTCCTCCTCTAACTTTACCTTTTCTAGGAGAGAGAGGCAAGACTCATACTATCTGACATAATCAAGGCAAGATTTAGCATTGAGTCATTTCAATCATGTGTATAATTATCTGCTCTCCATGTCCATAAGATGGCTGCTTTGGTTCTTTTGATGCAGGTGCAATTCTGGATATCTCTCTGGTGGCCAATGTTCTGAGTCCCTCACACAACCACTTCTACCTGTCCTGTGTGACAGGCGAGCGGAACATCAGCCTCCAGATTGACAGAGACAATGCCATGATCAAGACCACATCCAAGTTCCAGATATACAGGAACAGCAGCAAGGAAGTGCATATGCGAGGTTTTTCCCGAGCAGGCCTCGTGGGCATCACATATTGCCTGGGGAAGACACAGTCAGAGCAAACTAGAGTTGTTTATGTACACAACGACATTAACGGTAAGTGTGACAGATTGATTCATGTGACAATGAAGAAGAGATCTACACTTGAGTCCTTGAATTAATGTTTTCAAATTAACATTTCTCAATGTTTACTTCCTATCTCATGTGATGTAATGCTTTTTGTCATGATATGACCCCTTTTACACACTAGGTTGTTGCTTTTCTATTGCTTGTGTGGAATTGAGCATAGCATACTTATGTTATGTCTGGTGGGTTAGGCATGCAAAGAACCTACTTGATCTGTAACAGAAGAAAATGTATATAGTTTATATTTTAATTCCTAGAAAGCTGTTTCCACTCGTCTCCAACTACTCCTACTGCACCAAATACACTTCTGTTCAAACACACACACACACACACAAACACACAACTCAAAACACACACACACCAACACACACACCTTGCAAATAAGTTAAGGTGGAAATAGACCAGCAAATCTAATCTCTAAATTTGTTTAGAAGTTCAAATGACATGATCCACAGCCATCTCCACTTGACCATATTCAGGGAAGAGAAATTCATCACATTTTTGGATAATACTTGCAATTCTGTCATACTGCTATTCCTTTCCACATTTTTTAAAAATTGAATCAGAATCTGGTGTCATCCAACTGAAATCCATTGTCCTATTTGTTGCATTCTGGGCTAATAGAGAACATCTTCTCTATGATTTCCTTTCATCTTGTCCCTCTGAGTCTTTTGTTTTTAAGATTCAACATTTCCAGTTTATTTAATTTCTTTTTATAAATCTTTATTGCTGGTTTTGTGCTCATCCTCATGTCCCTTCTCTGAATCTATTCCACGTTCTCTAAATCTATATCTGACAGCAATATCTTGAATTGGACCCAATACATAAAGTGGAAACTGTGTTAGTATAAAGTACTTTGGAATCATTATTTTCTGAAATTTAAAGGCTGAAACTGAAAGTTTGCCATTGCAGTATGCAATTGTATGTATGTATCAGAGGTGGGTTGCTCCAAGTTTAGCCTGGTTCAGCCGAATTGGTAGTGGAATTTAGGCCTGGGTCACAGAACTGGAAGTGACCAGGCTGGCCATGCCCCTGAACCAGTTCCCTGGTTGCCGCTCCCATTGCCAGCATGCTGTGTAGTAGTGTGCACACATGCAAAGTTCACTGTAAATTGTTCGGCACATGCGCAAATAACAATTTATATTGAACTCTGTGCATGCACAGCATGCATTTGGCGCATGCATGAAGAGAACCTATAGTAAAACAAGCAGCAACCCACCTCTGGTATGCATGTATGATTGTATGTATGTATGTATGTATGTATGTATGTATGTATGTATGTATGTATGTATGTATGCATGCATGCATATCAGCCATATCATATTCATAGTCAAATATCCCTTTTGCCTTTTATCCTAACTGTTGTGCTTACCTTCTTTTCTGTGAAATGTCTCAGTGTTATTTGCAACCCATTTCTTTAATCTATCAAATTCCTATTTTGAATTTTCTCTCTGCCTTTTAAGGTCTTAGCTATTCCACCAAAACTGTATCATCTACAAATTTGAGAATACACATTCTTTCTACCTCTTCATCCAGTTCATCAAGCACAATTTTCACATAAGGAGAGGCACAGATCTCCCATCC